TTTCCTTTAGTCTAAATCTCTGTATTTAGATGCCAAAAATACCATGGAAATACCATTTATTCTTGGACCTGTACTATAGTAGAAGACAGTTTACTTTCAGTATCAACTTCATCTCAGGTCAAAGTGTCTGAATAATTTTTCGTCCCAAATTTGTATCAGTTTTACTGGTAGTCCACTGTATGAAGAATTTTTGGGTATAATATGTCACAGTTTACTTGATTTTGCTATCCTCACTTACATAAATGAACTATAGTGTCCTGTACCTGCTAGTAAAATTTTTTTTTTTTTAATTATCAAGTCAAGTCAAGTCACCTTTATTTATATAGCGCTTTTAACAATACAGATTGTGTCAAAGCAACTGAACAGCATTAATTAGGAAAATAGTGTGTCAATAATGCAAAATGACAATAGTAAACACTATCTCCACCAGGTCGCGGATCTGCTTCTCCACGGCCTCCAGCTCGAGCTGCACTGAATGCAGCTTGAACGTGTCCTCACCTGTACTCAAAGGTAGACACACATCCGCCATTAAAGCAAGTAACAGTGAGTAAAACAATGGTAATGTGTGTGAATAGAGTATTTGTAATGTAAGCGAGGTTAGCGGCAACCACGCTGGCGATGCTAGCGGGCTATTTGCTAATAGCGGACTCGGGAAATCAAAATAAAACTAGTGATAACAAGGCGCTCTGATTGTTTTTGTTGTAGAATACGATAGGGGATATATTCACACGTTATATAAACGAAAATGATGGTGTATAAAATTGATTTTAAAATAGAAAATTAGACGACAAAGAATTAACTTGACGGAGCTCAAACTCAAAACACACAAGTCACACCTATAAGGTCCATGATTATATCTGGTGTCTAAATAATTTTTGGTTTGATTGTACTTAAGTAAAACATTATATATTCTAAATATACTTGGCTTATACTGACACATATAAAGAAAAGTCTATTTGGCCAATATTTGTACTTAATACTCGAGATATACTATTTATTTGGTATTCAAAATTTGTCTTATACTCACAAGTATACAGAAAAGTGTATTTGGCCTATACTTATACTAAATCTTTTGAGATGTACTTTTAATTATTATGTGTTCTAAGTATACTTGGATTATACTGACATGTTTGTTTATAGAAAAGTAAGTGTATTTGACCTAGACTTGTACTAAATCTTTTGATTGAGATATGTATTATTAAGTATTCTAAGTATTTGGCCTATTGTACTGAATCTTTTGATCAAGGTATACTAGCATTACTCTAAGTATACTTGGTTAATATACTGACAAGTATAAAGAAAAGTCTTAGTATATTTGACCTGTACTTGTACTTAATCTTTTGATCAAGATACACTAGTATTATTAGGTATTCTAAGTATACTTGGTTAATACTGACAAGTACAAAGAAAAGTTTGAGTAAATTTGGCCTATACTTGTACTTAATCTTTTGATTGAGATATACTTAAGAAAAATATTAAGTAGAATGCTTGGTCTTTATACTGACAACAAGTATACAGAAAAGTCTAAGTATAAGCCTATTTGGTCTACTTGTACTCTTTTGATTGAGATGCACTTAATGTAATGTAATTGTGTTTACTCTTTTAATAGAGTTGCCTATGAAATACTTTACCCAAATATTGTCTTCTTTGAGGTAGTACTCCAGCATATGTTTTACATGCATTCTTATGAACTTACATCTTCAAGTTTATAGTGACGAGTTTGCTTTAGTCAGTTCACTTGTATTATAGAAACCATCACTGTACCGCTTTGCTTTTTTGTTTGTGTGTCATTTATAAACTCGCTCTGAAGTCATGTGATCTAGTAACCTTCAGATGAACTCTTCAGATACACTTGCATTGTGTCACGAGTTCAGGAAACCTCACATGACCTCAAAATACACCTACGAGTAAAAGCTTAACTACGCCTCGTAGATATTGACTAAGTGTACGCAAAATCTGTCTCTTTAGCTCGCAGCTCCTGCAGCCTTGTTTTGCTCACTGATTTTCTCTCTGTGTCACACAGACGCAACGCAGACGTTAAGATAAGGCTATTTTGAGTGAACTTAACCATATTTACTGCTGATAAAAAAATATTGCTATGGCTGGCAGACAACACAAAGCTTTTAGCAGTGCTAGTATCTGACAAGCTGTTATTTGTTGTGCCTCAGTTAAATGAGACAATACTGTGATTTATGTTGAGTGGTTTTGAAATGTTTTATGATAATGCTGTCATTGTTAACTAACATAATTTTATTAATTGAAGCTGAAATAATTATAAATATTATATTAAAAACTTAATCGAATATGAGATATTTTGACTTGGCAACCAAATGAAATAAAATAAGTTTAAGCTGAGATACTAAAATTACTCAAACTACATGTAAAATATGTAATAAAAAAGTGAGATAGCGAAATAGAAATGAGGTTTATTAATTTTACAAGAATGTATTTAAAAAAGCGCATAACCAAATTACTAAAACTTAAACTAAATAAAAAAATGAAATTATAAAAATAAACTCTAATTTAAAATATTAACAAATACTATATATAATATAAATAATACTAAAATAACACTGACGTATAACTGCAACTATAGTGTGAAAAATAATCACAGAATTCATTATATAAAATTTTGCCTTGGCAAACAGAAGAAATAAGTTTAAGTTGAGATTCTAAAATTACTCAGACTAGAACTAAAATAAAACATAAAGCGAAAGAGAAATAAAATAAAATAAAATGAAATAAAAATAAAAGCTAATTTAAAATATTAACAAATACTATATAGTATATAAATAATACTAAAATGACACTGGTGTGTGACTGCAACTAGTGTATAAAATTAATCAATATTTTTTTATCAATATAGAATGTTAGCATCCGTTAATTTTAATTGTTGGAGACAACTGGTTAATTTGAAGCTTTTTTGCTTTTTTCATCTTCCGGGTTTAAAATCTTATTAATTTTACAAGAATGTATTTAAAAAAGCGCTTAACCAAATTACTAAAACTTAAACTAAATAAAAAAATGAAATTATAAAAATAAACTCTAATTTAAAATATTAACAAATACTATATATAATATAAATAATACTAAAATAACACTGACGTATAACTGCAACTATAGTGTGAAAAATAATCACAGAATTCATTATATAAAATTTTGCCTTGGCAAACAGAAGAAATAAGTTTAAGTTGAGATTCTAAAATTACTCAGACTAGAACTAAAATAAAACATAAAGCGAAAGAGAAATAAAATAAAATAAAATGAAATAAAAATAAAAATAAAAGCTAATTTAAAATATTAACAAATACTATATAGTATATAAATAATACTAAAATGACACTGGTGTATAAAACTAGTGTATAAAAATAATCAATATTTTTTTATCAATATAGAATGTTAGCATCCGTTAATTTTAATTGTTGGAGACAACTGGTTAATTTGAAGCTTTTTTGCTTTTTTCATCTTCCGGGTTTAAAATCTACATCGTGTTGACGTCACAATTTGTGACGTGGCAATGGACTATAGTACATCGATGACGCGTCAATGTCTATTTAAATTATTCATGAGACTGCGTGTTCTTATCCTACGAGAAGACGCTTCGCTTAATTATTCACAACAGCATGTGTTGATTTGGTATGACAGACGCTACAGACTGTGAGATCGCATACATTAACTGAGAGAAACGTTCATGGATCGGAGGAGAGTGTTTGTTTATGCTTTGTAGTAAGAGTTCGGCACAAACTCGATTCATTCCCTTGAGTGAATGTAACCGTTTTTACAGCTCCTGACTAGACTTGTGCCGGTATTCGGTAATGCGATATATCACGGTAATGAATATGCACGATATTGTTATCGTGGGCACTTCTAAATACTGTGAATAATTATATATTACAAATTATTCCGCATTTTGAATGCATTTTAAGAATACTTTTCCCATCAACTGGTCAAAATGCACAACACCGCCGTATGCTGCATGAAAGATGCGTGCGCACTCTGATGTAAACAAGCGCAGACGAGAAGCACATGGCGGAACATGTGAGAGACGCTCTGGATGAAAGCGCACTTTCACTCTCTGACAGCAGATGGCGCTAAACTGCAGAAATAATAATAATAATAATAATAATAATAATAATAATAATAATAATAATAATAATAATAATTCATTTAATAATAATAATAATAATGAATAATGTTCATCACAGCGCCAAATACTTAAATATTTAGACTTAATAGGCTATTTATTTTCAAACTTTTTTTTACATTTTAATCTGGACTACAACATGCCCTAGATATTGTTTGAAAGTGTTTTGATTCTTTATTGTTCGGTCACACTTTACATTAGGGCTTCATTAGTTAACATTAGCTTTTGCTCATTGTGAATGTTAATGCATTAACTAAGGTTAACTAATGATTATTTATTGTAAAGTGATACCTATTGGTCTTTATAGTTCTTTTGCACTTTAATCTGTGTAAAACTTTTAACTTTATAAATTTTTCTGTATTGCTTTATTGCATTTAAATGTTCAGTTATTTTTGTTATAAGAACATAAAAAAACAGAAAGAAAAATGTTATTAAACGTGTTGTACTGTATTATGACAGCACTTTTTTAAACTAAATTTCAATACCGTGATAATACCGCGCACACCGTGATAAAAGCATGAGCAATTAATCGCAACATGAAAATTTGATACCGGCATATCCCTACTCCTGACACAACCCGTCAAAAGGCTTATATAAACGTTGCAGAATAAGCCTTAAAAGTTATCAGAGTATTTATGGCTCTACACCAAAAACACTCAATTTAAAAAAAAATACCCTTATGACTGGTTTTGTGGTCTAGGGTCACAATTGTGGTGAGAACTAACCAGCGCTGAAACAGGGGGTTTCATGACCCTTAAATGGCCAATGTGCCAATGACCATATGCAACATTTACAGTACGTATATACAATAAAGATTGTTAATATCTGCATGTGGCTGCTCTCCTCTGCTTCACAGGCCGATGTGTGATTGGTGTTCTGCCACTGTCCGCCAGCATGGTAGACATGGAGAAGCACTACAGCCCCCCGTCGCCGCTGGACGACTCCGTGCTGGACAGTCCTCTGTGCCGGGACTTCATCGGGGGAATGGAAGACCTTCAGGACATCTCTCAGTCCATCGAAGAGGACGCCCTCAGCAGCTTCGAGGTGACGAGAACCAGTCTTCAGGTCTGGGCTCCGGATCGGAGAGCTCCACTGCGTTAGGTACACAAACACTGCCACTCAAATACATGCAGACCTTTAAAGAAAAGACACCTTTCCTCTGTGCATTATGAGAATTAAGAACCTGAAACAACCATACATTGCATAGTTTGCATTTTTCAGTATAAAGCCAAAAACATACTCTACAGACGCAAGCAAATGCAGCTGTGAATGCTTTGCTGACATGTTGTATGCATTGTAATTTTGTTAGATTTATGCTTATGAAAAAAAGAAAATATACAAATTGCCAATAGGATAAAAACAGAAAATGCATGCAAGAAATATCCAAAAGAAAGTGTTACTTTTTTTCTTCAATATTCAGAACTGTTTTTATTATTATTATTATTATTATTATTTTAAATAATCATTAGACTGTCAATCAAAATTTAATATGTACATTACAATAGTCGTAGTAATAGTAATAATATTAGCTGCTATTATTATTAATTTATTATAACAAAATAAAACATATTGATAATAATAATTATTATAATTATTATTA